ACACTCACACGCGCGCACACACGCACATACACGCAAGGGAGTTGTCTAGGGTATATATCGTAGTACTATATCGGTTTGTTAGCGGGCACCCAACTTCCCTCCCGTTTGCAAGGAAACGAGTTACTGTGTGTACGCGTGCCACGCCCCCGATATTGGTGATTATGGCTAATATTAGCCATTATATAACTACTACGCTATAATAACGCTATATTTCTCTAACAATAACTCCCCAACAATTACAGCTCAGTGCGATAAATTGTCCGTGACGATTCTGTGAACTACTCGCTGTGACGAATCCATCTATAATTAACCGTGGTTGCATGACGCTATAATATGTGACCTCGCGTTTCTCGTCAGCCATGGCCATAAATAAATAAATAAATAAATAAATAAATAAATAAATAAAAAATACATGTGTGTATATATATATATATATACGTCAGTCTTCTCTCTCGTGCCGATAGCGTTTACGAAATTCGTTTGCGCTTCTCTAGTCGGAAGAAGCCGCTCAAGGGACGGCAGCCATGTTGGATCAACAAGGCGGTAAGCTCGAGGTTAATGGGCGTGCCCGTTCTATGTGTTGGTATAACTCCTGTAGCGTCTAACGTCGCCAACTCGTGATGGGTTAAATCTGTAGAGTTTTGCGGTGAGATTAACTAGGGTGTCACAGAACTACCGCTGGTCATGGTGATGGCTGGTTGGCTGGTCATGGTGATGGCTGGTTGGCTGGTTGGCTGCGTCTTAACCAACGTGACGACGTTGCGTGCGCGTCATGATATACTTGGGTGTAAATGGCTGGAAAGTTATGTTCGATGGTGCATGCATCTGTTCGCATTGGCGTTTTTTCATTAATCTCCACATCTCCAGGGAAATCTAGCCACGACGTTGCATATGGCAGTTGTGTCGTCTGCCTCTTCATTCAGAAATCGAAAAGACCTTTACGGTTTTTTTACGACTTGGCGGTTCGTATTTCTTCCTGGTGTAGAAATGTGCACGGCTAAATCGGATTGTTTTTGAAAGTCTCGTGACTGGTGCCTGGAATTCCGAAAGTTGTATACTTATGTGACTGTAGGTTGTAGACATGTTCGTCACGATCCTGTCATCTTCATAAAGCGTTCGGAATTCCAGGCAGAACTCGCCTTGTCTCTGGATAGTTATTTTACTGGCGCGGGATTGAACAATTTGAATTATCTGGGAACCGGGAAATAGCCGATAAATTGTTAAAATTAAGATTTTTCAGATTAAAACCAACTGGGAAATGCGATTTTATTTAACAGTGACTTGAGAAATGGCGTATTTTCTTACCTGCATACGTAATAGTATACTAGAATAATGGTATACTAGAAATAGACTCCTCCCGTTCCCTTCGCTTTAGAAACCCATTAAGTTTCCGTTGACACAACAGACATTTATGTTTGTCAAAACTTTGCCCTGATGTTGTATGCCACCTGGTTTTGATTAATGCGCTTGTCAACTCAAAATAAATTCGTCAAAATGCGTGAATGCTCGATAAAGGTCGGAGAATATAGCTCTGTAACCTTCAGAGGACAACTCGCAAATGCAAAGAGTTCCGGCAGAAAATAATTGGCTTTGTTCGCAGACGCGGGCGAGACACGAGAGCCTTAAATAATCAACCGGGTAAATGCAAAAAAATTCTAGTTTTCATCTTCGTGTTGCTGCGACATCGTCCTATCCACGCTGGTAATGGCGAGCACTTCAGACACGTACTAATGGGCCCTTTTTAAGTCGTCTTGTCCGCGAACATAACCGCGCAAATTCAAAACTACTAAAGTCCTAATTCATAACTGATGCCGTGTGTTCGCTGACTGGCTAACATGCTGTTCGGAGGATGTGGAGATTCGTGCGGAACACCATGCTTTTCAAAATCCGCCTCATGCATGGTCGTGTTCTTTCTCTCTCTCTCTCTTTCTCTCTCTCTCTCTCTCTCTCTCTCTCTCTCTCTCTCTCTCTCTCTCGCACACACGACTCTTAATTTCACTCTCACGCATTCTCACACACACGGACATCATTGTGTCTCTCCCAACGCGCCACGCACATTCCTCTATCTCTCTCCCTCCCTCTGTTTGCATGCGATGTCTATTCTCTATATGCGTGTATATTTATTTAAGCAGCGTCGCCAGGCTTTCGTCCTGGCTAGAATTCGCTTTCAGGTGATTGATTGTGTTACTCTAGTGGCGATGTTTCGAAATTTACAAACAAACGCGCCCCTCGTGCAGAATTCGTCCAGCGACTGAGTACGTACAGCGTGATATGATGTGTGTAGCCGTTGCCAACTGTAACATTTTCCAGAACTAACAGCTTAATAGAGCATTCAGCACACCCTGGATACTGGCTAGACGACTTTTGACATGACGGCGCGTGACGAACGTCAATCTGCTCACAATGATGTTGTTTGCGCGGGAAAAAAATCAATACTAAGCCAGTGTCTTTTTTTTTTCCCTAATTACTACATCTGTATGTACTTAATTCTTACTGTATGCACTAATTCCTACTGTATGTACTAATTGCTGAGTTGTCGTGCAGATGGCAATTGGATCGCGTGGAGGAGGGCTGGACCAGATTCAACCAGGATATGCGGGAGGCCTGAGAAGAACTGACGGGCTATGGAGAAATGCTGCGGCATCTTCTGTGTCGCGTGCAACAAGTACGTGCTCGTTACCTGTTCTTGCTCGCTACTTGTGCTTGTCACCGTGTCTGTCACCTGCGGCTGGGCCATCTGTAGCTGGCCATCTGTGGCTGACACTGTGATGCATACCCCAAGTGGCTGCCTTGTACCTGGTCTTACCACCTTGAAAT